AATCAATGCATTGGATAAAGACAACCTCACCTCAGTGATGTCAGATTTCATTTAAACAACTTCGCGCCTCTGAGGGAAAGCAATTGTATTATTTTTAAAGATCAGTTGACTGTAAAAGTAGCCATGAGTCAAAACTGAAACCGTAAAAATACGTACCGAAAAAGACGACCCTCAGGCTGTGGAATAGCCACACCATGGTGACATACCATCCTAATGATCAAGTGAATAATTTTGTCATTACCCGTTTCTCGACTGAGAAACAATGCATATATCTGTACATTCACGTACTGAGGCGAAACCTGTTTTGCCCTATTCAAGCATAAATGAAGGCCTGAAGCGGTTCGAGGCCAGGTTTCTTTTAATGCAATTTAAATTTTAAAGAAATCGTCATAGGCATGCGTCTGAGGCTCATACTGATATCTTGCAAAATCATAGGACTGGTGGTTTCTTCTAGGCAACCCATAAACAGAAAACGACGAAACCAACATGCTTATTTGTATCGTTGTCTGTCCTTCAAAGACAGAGTTTTCGCCTCTATAGTCATGTGACTAAGCTCTGAACTCATGACTGTACGAAATATGTCTGAAACGGAATTTTCGTATCGTAATCACACAGGTCTTTATTACTAGATACTTAGAGAAAAATTTCTCAGTAGGCCTCAGCTTCTTGTAAATTAAGTGACGGGGCAATATACTGGTCCGAAGATGACATCGAAAACTGCTATTTTTGACAGTTGCTCAGAAATATCAAGGTGATTAGTGGCGAATGCAAATGCCAGGGGATTATAGTAATTTTCAGTTGATACTCGAGGGGCTATTTCATCATGTTCGATCCAACTTATTTCCATGTTTTAATGCATATTGCCTTTGCCGGATTAACTATATCAATCTGGAAAATAATATCTGACAGTCAGATATCATAAATCTGTGTCCTGGTTTAAGCTTTGATATCGATTTTCAACGAAGGGTGCAACAGTTATAGATTGCCAAAGGAACATTATTTTTCAAATTAGGGAAGCTAAGTTATCACAATAGAGATCTGTATTCATCCTGAGTCGCTAGTAGGTCTGATATAAAAGTTTGGGCAATTAACGCTGACATTTAATGTCTACCATTAATTTAAGTGCTTGAAAGACCAAAATGCATTATATTAAGAGTTAAAATAATTCAAATAGAAAGCTATCTTTATTATCACAATGTTACTCTAATCGATGGTAATCAGAACGATGATGATTTTGATATTTTGATATTGGAATGGCGTTTTTTATGGATCGTGGTATCTATACTCTTATTGAATTTGATCAACCTGAAAACCTTTGATTTTTTCTCAAGATCATCCTGCTGTTTGCATATGTTGTTTACGTTCTCATGAGGTTTCCGAGGTTCTTATTGATGAGACAGATGTCTCGAGCAAGCGCATTGTTGCAGATGGAACGGTCATACCTAGAGGCAAACTTTCGTTTATGCACCCACCAGAATGTCGACTACGCAAGATTAGTGATGATGATGATGATAACAGTGATTAAGCTTCGGACACACTGTCACCCATGAAAATGGAGTCTCCTGTCACGTCTTTTGCACAGTCATTTTCCTACTTAAGTCTCACTCAGTTTTCCCCTCTAATACTAGACATAATTAATATATCTTACGAAACGACCGTGTGATAATTTCACCGTGTCATTGCAACAGCAAACGCTATCGAATATAGACTGAAGTAGACCGAATTGCTGCACGACGTTTCCTCCGCCTCTGTGTGCCTCGTCGCCACCTCCCACATTGCAAATATCATTGATTAATAGCGAGGAAAAATATGACAGAGCTGTAAATGCCGGACACCATCATTTCCTGATATCCAGATAACGCCTAACATACACTCTGATCTGTAACATCCGGAGATTTCGTGGTTCCGCTCCTATATCAGGCTTCGGAGGCGAGAGTAATCGAAACTGTGGCGATCCATCGTCTCATATGCCTGAACCTAATGAAGGTAAGGAGGACAAAGAGGATGATCATGATGCTGATCATCAGGATGAAAATCATCGCAAACCCTATTCATCTTCTTGACAGTGTCATCTAGCGCAATTGTTCAAAAAATGGAAAAAAGCTTTGGATTCCCAGTGAGCTACAACATTAAAAATTAAAACACCTGACAGTTTCCTAATTATTGGACAAAATATGTCAAGGTTGCTATAGGCGCCTTCTTGTATGTCACTAGTTATCCGTTTCTGACTTTCCTTGATATATAAATTTTAGAAGAATGGCTGAAACGTAGTAATGCACCTAAGTGAAATTTGTATGCATTTTTATCAAGTTCGTTATATTCCCAAAAATAATATCATCCGTCGCATAATGAAGTCATTACTGCATTGAAATGCATGTCTGAAAGTTAACACAAGCCATATTCATTACCAACCCTTGTGCGTGTTCTGCAAAACTTTTGCCGCTTTAATCGGGCTGCTAAGCTACCTGAACAATATAAAACTGTAAGTAAAGTTCACAATGGAAGAAGGGGAAGGTGGCACAATTCCATTAGCGAACTGTGAGGTGAGTCCCCTAACCATTGCGTCGGTATGCAAAAAACTTAAACATCAATTGGATCACACTTAGTTGGCCGATGATCGTTGGCGAGTCCCGCCAGCCTCAATACGTTGCCATTCCTCGCGGTTTCAAGCTTACGCCCTCTGAGCGCGGCATTCCCGACTTCTGACAGAATCTTCCCACCGTAACGGTAGGCGACCAATGAGTCTAGTCCGCCCACGAGGTCAACACTCGACCGGTTAACATTGCAAAGCATCTGATGGCCGATTGTAGTTTGTTCTCTCTCCGTTAGACGACGATTTCCTTCACTTTTGTCCTCAGTGACCACGTCTCA